GTTATTGCGTATGTGCGCGCACGTTTGCACGTTTGCGTGCGTGTGTGATTTGATGATCGCATACATACGTATACCCGGAGCGCCATAGCCTGGGTGCCAGCCCCATAGCACACTAGACACAAAGTATCTCACTGAGATACTTTGTGTCCAGTGTGCTATGGGGCTGGCACCCATGCAGGCTATAGGAGCGCCATCCAATTAACAAGATGTTTTTTCTTGCTAACTGCAGGGGTAGAGAAGGCGCTTTCTGGTAGCTGGTCCGACGGCGTGCGTGCCTTCGAGTTAAAGACAGAGGAAGTCGGACCGATGGATAGTGACGTCATCTACGAGCGGGGCACCTGCACCACGATGGCAGAAGATGGCAGTGTGACTGACGAGTGCAAGTAAGTCAACATGTTGTATGCTCGCTATACAATAAACCCAGCACTATATGTTCTGTAATATCTTTTTTGTTTCTAAATATTTTTTTCTGAAATTTTAGGTAATTGTCACCCACAAAGTTGTCTCTCAACACAGTGCAGAAAACTCCGTTTCTACCATTTATAAAAAAAATTATATCTGATTTTCTTTTGGGGTCCGCGCGGACCCCAGCGGGCTTTCGATCATAATGGATACACTGGCGTACTTATACATTACCTTATTTCCGTTTTTATATGTTTTTATGCACTCATCGTATGTCTACCAAGTTTTCAGAGAATGGTGTAGTAATAGAATTAAATTTTGATAACTTTGGTGTAATTATGACGTCATATGACGTCAGAGCTAATAATATAGTCCGCCATATTGGATTTTGACCAATGACGTCATCAAATTAGCATATTCTATGCATATTAAATGATTTAACTTATATTTAATTATGTAAGATGTTATTCATGTTGGAAAAGAAGTGTAATTTAATATAAAACTCAGAAAATTTTTTGTTTAAACCAAAATTACTTCTATTTTAAAAAAAACTGCCTGCTAGAAACCCGTTGCCATGGCAACACAAAAAAACATCAACTTACTAGTAATAAACTAAAATGAACTTTTTTCTAGAGACATTTTAGGAAAGGTCTCCAAATTTGATACTTCTAGCGCAAGCCGTTTAGCCGCTGAGATCAAAGTTGGGCCTCAAAAGCCCCTTCAGTCTGAAATGGGTTTAAAAATCAGGTATTTCTTCTTGTCTTCTTTTCTTCACCAAAAAATAGAAAAAGTTCAAAATGTATGATTTTTGTATGTAATGTGGACACAGAGGTTCCCACATCAGTTTGCAAAACAATTGAGCTGGTAGCATGTTGATAATTTCTAAAAATTAGCAAAAAACTGTTCTGGGGTCCGCGCGGACCCCAGGTGTACAGATTAATCAGTCCGGGAAGGTGTACTGTTGAGGGTTAATATATACCCCTATGTTTATAGCATGTAGGGGTTGTTACAAGTCAATATGTATTTAAATTTTCTTTCCAAGTTCATTGTGGTGAACGCTGGGAAAGAATCTGATAGTCTCATATATACATAATTCTGTGCATCTGACCTTTTACTGTATAATATTTCATACTGACTGGATACAACTTCTATACATGAGATATTATATAGAGATTTTCTGAAGTTGTAGTTACGTTGAAAATATCAACTTTTCTTCTTGATGTTTCACAGGTACGTCTTGATTTGGAAGAAAGTTAAAGGAGAGTGGTTCGTGCACACCGACATCTTTAACTCAAGCAAAGCCTGAAGATTCTACATCGATACAGTCACAATAAAGCGGCGTTTAAAACACGCCTCGGTGACGTTTTTTTTTTCTTTTTTGATGTGAGTAATTATAACGATCATGGTGTCTGTTTTGGTTATTGTTGATGGAGGTGCTTGTTTAAGTATGTGAGCTAGTTATAAGTTTCTCACGAGGATTTTATAATAAACATGTTCTTATTAATAACTTGAGAGATAAGGCTATTCTAGCATGTCCTCATAAATTATGGAAATGAGGACCTGATTTGAATAAATTTATGCTTAGTGATGCTCACCTTTGCTGAACTTCAAATATGGCAAGTATTAAATTCCCAGCAGTTATGTAATTGCCACCATAAAATTGTACAAATTTTCCATTAATTATGCAAATTACAATAAATATCTGCCAATGATCTAGTCGTTCTCAATTACATATGTCACAAGTGTTTCAAGGCCCTTATATGGAAAACAGCAGATTTATAAAATGTCCTCATTAATTATTATTAAAATAGATCCTGATTTGCATAATTTCACTTTAATTCTGTCAAGCTTACATACCAAAAATCACGACGATCCATCAAACGGTTGTTTCGTTATCCCCTCTCAAAGATTTTTCAAACAAACCATCCTGCAGTTCCAGAACAAGCCGCTAGGGGGCCAAACATGACTTCATCCTGGGGACAAGAGCTACCTACCATCCAAAATTCACGACCCTAGCTTGTCCAGATCGCGAGATATCAAAACCGGAAGTTGCGCTGCAGTACCAGTGGAAGCCAAAAGGGGGGCCAAAATCTAATCATTTCCAGTTTTCGCCCACACCCTACCAACACACCAAGTATGAAACCAATCCATCCGGCCGTTCTTCAGTTTTTTTGTTGACTAACAGACGGGCGAACGCAGCTGAAAAAATATAACCTCTATGACATGTCATGTTGGTAACAATTCTAAAAGCCTGTATAAAAAAAAAGAAATTGAAGACATTTAAAGAAATGGCAGGGGAAGGAGGTAGTCTCCACCAGACTCCTTTGCAGGCTGAATAAATAGTAGAAATCGGTATTAGGGGGACATCATTGGCCAGAGGAGTTGGCCGGTCATAGAGGGTCCAGCTAGCCAATGATGTCCCCCTAATACCGGTTTCTACTATTTATTCAGCCTGCAAAGGAGTCTGGTGGAGACTAGGAAGAAGGAGGAGGTTAAGAAAAAGCACGAGTGGGCTGAATAATTAATCTATTCCTATTTGGTATGGACTGAAATAGATATTTCTCTGCTCCTTGTTCTCTGCGGACACAGATTCATGTCCCAAAAACAATTTCCAAGCACCCCGATGCTGTGTCCTTGACGAGGAGTTCAAGGTCAACCAACCAACACGTACATTCCCTTTGGGCCTGGGCTGAGGAAATACAGTTGAAGGTTTGTCAGGCATAGAGTCAGTGCAAGGCAAGCTTAGCCCCTACCAGGCACCACGGATCGCTGAAAAAATAGTAGAAATGTGGATCGCGAATTGGATCTGCTATGGCCCTGGATCTTCTCTGGTATACTATCCCTTCATTTCGGCTAATTTCTATTATTTTTCTAGCGATCCGCGGTGCCTGGTAAGGTCGCAAATTGGATCTTCTATGGCCCTGGATCTTCTCTGGTATACTATCCCTTTATTTCGGCCAATTTCTACTATTTTTCCAGCGATCCGCGGTGCCTGGTAGAGGCTATGGCATACTGCTACACTGCTACAATTTGCACTGCTTGGCATGGATTATAAATGTGTCCCAATTCATTGGAATGACGCCAATTCAAGGGACCCTCGCTTCAAACCGCACAGTTCTAACACTGTAAAACCGTTTACCTCGCTGTGCTTTCATTTCAACAAGGCTGGTTTGGCGGTAGGAGAGAAGGGGAGATTATCGTGGTATAGATAAAGCTGGATTATGTTACATTAAGACTATGCAAAGTAAATGTTCTGTTTATTTCTTTACAAAGTAAGCTGAATCAAGTTCCATTGCAAATAGGTGTCAGTCAGGAAGTGGAGGTGCAACCTGACGATTGTTTTAAAAACTAGAAACACAGCTTCCATGATGTTTGTTTACATTTTGAGTTTGTGAGTGAGTGCAGCTCATATGGGCTGTTTTAGGGCCTGAACCATTAATATGAGAAAAGTAGGACTTTTACACAAATATGTTGAAAAATGGAAGTAAATTACAAGCACACGAAGATTTTTTCAGTCAAAATATTTCATATTTTTTTGTGAAAAAAATGTTACATAATTCCCATGTAAGTTCGCTGTTGAAACGAAATTCTTTACTACCACACCAAGCACCCAACACCCTTATTTAAGGCCCCCTCGATTAAATCGGTTCTTAATTTATTCCTCCTCCTCATTTTCAATGGTTGACAGGCTATGGCGCGGCCTTGACACAATGGTCGTTCTCGGGTCATTCGCGTTGACAGGGGGGCCTCATAATTCAAGGGGAAGGGTTGGAAAAAGTCGCCGAAACACAGCGTGGGGGCGACTTGAAACGATCAACACCCAGAGGTCATGAGAAGCTGATCAGCGTCCTGTGAGGAATCCAGCCTGATTGACGCGGCAGATCGCTGACTGAGGCAGAACAAGCCTGGCCGGGGTAGTCATGGTGGAGGGCCTGCATGGGGGTGTAGTGATTACGAATGACACAAAATTTTCGCCACCGATTACGAATTACGTCAAATTTTCAGAGCTGATTACGGACAATTACACTTACGGCTAATGTAATGATTACGAATTGCGATGATTTTAATAGGGGCGGGTGCCTACGGATACGAAGGCCCGATTACACCTTACGAAGGGCATACAGACCCTCTTGGTAGGAAGTCATGCGGCGGTCACAGAAAAAGACAAGAAAAGTACACATCCAGGTTAGATGCGCCATTCTCCACAGGCTTGTTCTGCCAGCCCGTATGAAAGTTACTTGGTCTAACTAAATAAGCATAGATCTCGCCTGCCTTATTATAAGTCATTAAAACGCAGGTTTCATACACTTTTAGGGCCCTATCCACACACGAATGTGCTTACATCACGAAAATCGCAACAAAATTAACTCTAACTTGATACATATAAATGTGGAAGGCATTTTAAATCTCACAATGGACGTTTCAGACAGACTTGCAGAGGAAGCGCGGACACAATGTACTGCATCGTGTATAGAATTCTAGAACACTCAACGGTTCTAGATCTTGGATAATCATCTTGAATAGATGTCAGTGATGTTTCTTGGCGTTCTCGTCAAGACTTCTCGGAGGTCCTATAGTGTCAGCGTACACCGTCTGTTCAGCTCATTCTAATCCCTTCGGGCTTTTCAGGACTGGAACCGCCCACTGCAACTGGTATGCCGTTACGTACGTATTTGATTGGCAGATTGTTTTACGCGATACGATTCTAGGCGGATCAACTACCCAAGACCCCAGGGGTGGCCGGGTTAGTTACAAAAATGAAACGCACCCGGCAAATATTTTAAAAGTAACCAAAAAAAATTGTGGTACCGACCAAGAATGAGGAAAGATACAATGGCCAGCTCTGTGCACCTTAGTACTATGCAGAAGGATACTATCATACATTAGAAGATTTACACTTAAGACCACCCACCCCCTATGTAAGACCGCACTATTTTGGTACCGTCCCCTTCTTGACTTCAAAAATTCAGTTCAGTGTTTGTAAGGTGTGGCACGTATAAAGCGACTCACACAGCAGAAAGAGAGGTACTTGGAGTCGGAGCTTTAGTCCTCGCCAGACGACATGGCTTGGGCGGTGTACCTCCTGGTCGGGTCTGTTCTGGGCGTTACCTGGTCCGTCTCCGCACAAGGGACCAACGCTACGGGTAAGCTTCTCGTCTTTTTCCAACGAGTCCTTCATAATTTCCAAAATCCGTATGGAGAGTTAACGCTTTGGTATAAGTACAATGATCGCGTAATTTCTCAGTTCAGTAGTTCACGGAGTCGTGCCGTGGGGAAAACATGCATGTCAGTAAACAGTCTACCACCTCTGGCGGTCTACGGCAAGTCTCGCCAGCTGGCTTGTTGTTTTTCCTGTCCACTCCTTCTGTAGCCTCTACCAGGCTTCGAGAAGCGGCTGGAAATAGTAAAAACTGGCCAAGTAGAGAGATGTAACATGACATGCGAGTTGGTCTGCTAAACAGTACAGTTTGTCGCTCCAGAAGGGTGAAACAACTTCCCTGACATGTTATCTATTTGGCCAATTTCCCATCGGCCACACGCTTTCCGCCTGGCCTTGGAGTATTGTGTTTGAAAGAGTTCCCTAGTCCATGACACATGTCCCAAACCTCTATAACTCAGAAAACTGTCAAGTAGACCTGTTACGGGGAGTATGTTGTTTTTAGTTCTTTGAAATTGTTTGTAGTGTGTACATGTACATGTAGCTGTAACAGACTCGACGGCGATAATAGTCCATCAAAACGACATTTATGCTCTTAACGGCTCTTAACTATCTCTTCATTTATCAATACGTGTATAGAATACAATCATGTAGACTCGGATTCATGTTTAAGTAGCTCCGAACATTTGGGTACATCGTAGAGGACCTCACAGCGCCCCGCACTTTGACCAGTGGCACGGCTGGTTGTATCCAGAACCGTGTTTTTACCCAGAACCACGCCCAGGCACCTTTCTGGAATCATTATCAATTATTAGACCACGTGCATCAAGAGTTGCTGAGTTCTTGGATACGCGAAAACTGTCCAGAATCGACCAATTTAGGCATGGAACTACATGCATTAGGTACACAACATTCAACGTAAGCTCGGTTCTGGATACGATAGATATGAATGACATTCCAACCTTCAAGAAAGACTGACAGGTCGGTAGGCTGTACTTAGGCCATGTTGATTTGATTATATGGATGACATCCGCGTGCGCATGAATTTTCGGCAGTTTGAAAAAAAAAAAAGGTGAGCAAATATATACCGTAACTTTAAAAGAAAGAATTTGAAAACGACACCAATGTTGTAGAATGCCAAAATAAAATCAAAGGAAAAAGACGAAAATGTAAAGATGAATTTAAAGAGTAAATTGCCATACCATACTCTGTGTCATTTGTTCAACCTTCATGACCACGTAGATTTCATAATGCATGAAAGCAACTTTTTTTTGCAAAACTTTATTTTATTCGCACGCTCGCATCAGTTTTGGGGTTCCCGGAGGATGTCATCCATATAATTAAATCAACATGGCCAAAGGGAATGTCAAGTCCGTCCATTCTGTGCGTGGAGGATAAACGACCCAGCACCAAGAATTTGACCGTTACCATGGACACCCACCGTGCGCGGGTTGGCAGCCATGGCTCATAGAACCAATGTCCTTGATAGAACTAATCCTCTACGGAAGCCAATCTGCAACTGACGGTCACTGCAACAACAATAAGGCCACACCATCTTAATTTCATGGATGACATGCTCTGAAGACCCCCAAACTAGTGCGCGCGGGCGAATAAAAAAAATTCCGGCCAAAAATAAAAATGCTACTAAATCACAGGAATATAAAGCAGTTATTGCGAATTGCAGTACATAGCAACGTATACGCCAAGCCGACACATGCTGGCTTTTGCGGAATTTATGAATGGGCACTGTTCTTGAGTCGTGGAGCTTCAGTAGCCTGGGTGCCATCCTCAGGAATTACCAGCGGCTCCGTTTTGTCGCTAACTATTATTGAATACCCAGGCCTAGAGCCAGACCAGAGCTTCAGAGGATCTTTTTTTTTCAGAACAGGCGAAAATCAGTGCGCGCGCGGATATCATTCATAAAATTAAGTCAGTGTGGCCTAATCAGCAAAAAAATATACGCACGCGTAATGGTTGATAGCCGCTTATATTTGATAGTTGGAGGCGAAAATACTGCATCCCACATTTCAATCTCACAAATTCTTCTGCACCAGAAAGCCACAGAGGTTTGCCTTCATCTGTACAAAGAAAACAAGGTTGATCCGCTTAAACTGTGACAGCAGCTGACAGCAGATAAACAAAACCTTTGACCTAAATTTCCCAAGTATCCAAGCGCTCTGGCCAAGGCAGAGCTTCAACCTCTCGAATATGCCATGATGCCTACTAAACTGGTGAGGTCACAGTTTACAGAGAGATCAAATTTTCAGCGACCACTGTCGCCTTCATCAGGATAATTAATAACCAATCACTTCACAACGTGATCTCGCGAGAGTTACCGGTTTACAAACACGTGACCTTATTCACACGAGACTTTACTGATACGCGACGTAAGCAATTGATCAAAAGTACCAGGGAGTTTATACCGTCCACCATCTCTATTAAGTGAAGGCTGAATTGACCAAAGTAGTAATCTTCGAGACCACACCTGTTCATTCATAGAGTCTAGATGGAGCATAAGTTTCAACAACAACAACAGAAACGATTTTCAAAGATATTTAGTAGGGATTACAATCGTGTTCCCATTTTGGAGCCCTTCATTGCGAAGTGGTGACGTGAGCCCTACACTGTTCAAGGAAGTTTGAAATGCGTAACTTGATATTTTACATGTTTTCTGCAGGTGATATCGGCCCCAGAACAGTTATTGTGGGCGCCATTGAGGTAAAGTTTCTCTTTTTTATTCATGTCTAGTTTGTCTACGGTTGCATTACAGTTGTAATGTACAATGCAACCCGTCCCTGGACCTCTTTCAAAATCCTATCTCCTTGTAGTTCTGGCCACAGACCACCAATTAATAATACTGGTTTATTTCTTTCTGACCGTACAATACAGAGTAGCAGGGTCCCCGTAGGACCCTGAATAGATCTGCCGTATTACATAAGCTATTAAAAACGGTTGACATAAATATTACAAGCAATTATTAAAAACAGTTAAAAACAGCAAATTATTTTAAAATATTTGCAATATATAGGTTACGGTCATAGTCAATCAGTAAAAAACATAAAAGTTATTGAAAGTATTTACAATACGTTGCGATCATAGTCAAGCAGATACCATGTCATGACAGATTGTTGTTTTTGTTCAGTAGTCTTACGAGGTAAGGTATGCTACTGTTCCTAAATCTTTCAGTTCTAGTTCTGATAGTGTCCAGATCGTTGCAATGTCTGTCACTTGTCTGCCCGCGGGAGGGGAGTAGGTTTCTGAAGAACGCACTGTTCAACAGTTTCTTCCCGTAGCGGAGGCACAGCTGTTCCCGTCTCGTTCTCAGTGGTTGAAGACCAAGCTGTGCACAGGCGTCTGCGTAGCTGGTGTACCTTTTCCCCAGGATAATCCTGCATGCCCTCCTTTGGATGGATTCAATCTGCGTTGACTGTTTGTTTGTTAGCCCTGAGCTCCACACCGGGGCTGCGTACTCCAGAACCGGCCTCACCAATCCAAATCTAATGCAAGCGGGCGAAAAAAAGGCAGGCCGAAAAAACAAGGTTCATACATGTTCAATTTTGACTCAATCATTGTACAAATGGTTTTGATTCAGTGGGAACATCACATACACACAGCCACCATCACATATCACTGCATCAAAGTTAAAAACAAAACATTAAATCAGAGCCTTTTCTCTCTTCCGTAGTCATCTGCCATCCACTTTCCTGCATGGCAACAGACATCTTGGCCCATTTTCGGCATGTTGACAGATGTCTAGAGGGCATGTTGTCGTCCATAAAAATTACTTGCTGTGGCCATACGTAAGAAATAGGCTGTTTTCTGTTTGCTTGCATGCACTCACCTTCTGCCCTACTGTTTCCTCCCATCAGCAACCCGGTTTCCTGCACAAGAGAGAAGATGGGACGTTCGAGGGGTTCCATGCGGACCTCATGACGGAACTGTCGAACCTCATCAGATTCGACTTCGTCATCAAGGAACCTGCCGACATGAAGTACGGGTACCTGCGGGAGGACGGGACCTGGGCTGGCATGGTCGGGGAGCTTGTCAGAAGGGTAAGGCAGTAGCCTGGGTGCCAAACCCATAGCACACTGGACACAAAGTATCTCAG